GCAGACACATTCCCCCCAAACCTGACCACAGTGTGCGTTGAGTGCAGTCAGCAAATCCTGCTGTCACGGTGACTAATAAGAACTCGGGATGCCCTCCCCACCCCTCCAGCCTGGTTTGGGGGGTTCCTGCATGGCTGCCCTCTGTCACTGTGTACCCTGGAATCTCTAGGACCGTCTCCTGTCAGAGGTGTGGAATGTTGGATGAGAGGGAGCCTGAGATGGGTTCCCCAGCTGTCTTAGCAGTTCCTCGGGGAATGTTTCTTATCTCAAGTGCTATTGCAGAGCTCAGTAAACTGCGACTCAAGTTTGTTCAATTAACCTTCTCTGGAATAAGGAATTAGATGATCCCAGAGCACCTGTAAATGATTTCAAAAAAGGTAGCAAATGCAGTAATGCCAACTTCCAAAATGAGATTTGATACAGGGCCCTCTGGCCCAGGGTTTGTTGAGAGCACCAAGAAACAATGGTAGGAGTGTGACAGTGACCCCGATGCAGTGTGACAGAGAGAGACTGGAGTCTCATTCAGGAGCAGACCAGGCCCCCTTGTGTCCAAACTAGGAGCCTGCCCTCTTCCCAGCTCACATTCCCCCTGGGTGTTGCTGGTAGGGCTGTGTGGAGGGCCAAGGGCACAATGACGAGGCCACCTTGGTGGTGAGGGTGGCCAGGGGCGCCCGACGAGGGGTTGGAGACCTTGTGGGTCTCCCCCTGACCTGGGAGCTGGTTGCACTTTCCATCTGTGTGCAGGGCCCGGAGGTACTCTCTGACCATGCAGTGCCCCACCAGATGAGGGAACAGCCTTTGACACGTCAGGCAGAGGCCCAGCCAAAGGAGTTGTCCCTGGAGGAAGGAGCTCGGGACTCCAGCCAGCAGCCCCCAGCCCAGCTAAGCCGCAGACAAAAAATAAACCCTGAACTCTGGCCAAAGAGGGGTGAGTAGCCGCCCTCAAGGAACGCAGCCCTTCAGGAGAGGGAGGCAAAGGGAAGAGAGCGTTGGGGGAGGTTGAGGCCTGTGTGCATGTGGCTCCTGGTGGGGAGCTGAGCACAGGTGGGGAGCTGCTGGACCTGTCCTGGCCTTCATTGCTGTGCCCACAGGTGGGCTATTGTGGACTTCACTGCCCCCTGCTCTTTCCCCAGGCCCAGTCACCTCCCCGCACCAGGAGATGGCAGCACCAGCCACATCCCTCCTTGCAGCCTGGTCCCAGGTGAGTGGTGGTCATTCCTGGTCTGCAGCATCCCCATGGAGACACTTCTCTCCCATGGCCAGGACTGTGGGTTTCCAAGGCACTTCCCCCTGAAATGACCTTTGCCTACTGGGAGGTATCTTGCTCTTTCTCAGATGCCACCTGAGTATTAGGTGTGTTTGTAGGAGTCTGGGGTCCAATGGTGAGCTTGGGAAATCGCTCAAATCCAACTGGGTGTTAGAATCTCTTGGGACTCTAGGTAAAAATAAAGATTCCTCACCCTAGCTGGTTTGGCTCAGTGAATAGAGCATCAGCCTGTGGACTGAAGGGTGTCAGGTTCGATTCCGGTCAAGGGCATGTACCTTGGTTGCTGGTTGTGGGCACATCCCCAGTAGCGGGTGTGCAGGAGGAGGCTGATAGATGTTTCTAACTCTCTATCCCTCTCTCTTCCTCTCTGTAAAAAAATCAATAAAATTAAAAAAAAAAAAAAGATTCCTCCCCCAGCCACAGCCTGGAATAGTTTTTTATACTTGTTTAAATAAAGTTTATTGAAATACAATTCATATACTTACATTTCATCTATTTAAAGTATACAATGTCTCGTACATTTACAGAGTTATGCAATCACCACAATTAGTTTTAGAACATTTTCACCACCTGCCCCAAATTCCCCACACCCCTTAGTGGTCACTCCCCATTGCCCCTCCCCGAGCAACCACTGATCCTCTTTCTGTTTCTGGATTTGTCTCTTCTGCACCTTGTAAGCTTGGGTTTTATTTATGTTATTTATTTACTTTTGCTTGAGTTTTAATCATGTTCCCTAGGTCAGTCTGGTGCTAGATTTGGGAACCACTGGCTTAGAGCCATCCTGAAGTCCTCAGGTCACCCCATTTGGGTCCCGGGGCTGGCTTGAGTTGAGGTAGGCCATGCTAACCCATGTCTCCAAGGAGTATGGGCCCCAGTGGCTGAGCACACAGTGGATCCAGCTGCTACGCACAGCGAATCTGTCCACACTGTGCTGCCCTGCAGCAACAGGACAGAGCATGATGGCAATAGTGTCGTCCCAAAGAACAGGATGCTGCCGTGTCTGTGAGCTGAGGTTGGGAGGAGAGGTGTGTGACAGCTTGTGGGGAGGGAAAAGGCGGTGGGAGGCAAGCAGGACCCACCATTGTGACGTGAGTGGAAGGGAAAGGTCAGCTCACCAGGTTGGCCCAGCCCGTAGGGCTGAGTGGACTGTGTCCTTGCAGGTACCAGTGGCCTTGGAGGACGTGGCCGTGTACCTGTCCCAGAAGGAGTGGGGGCGTCTGGACCCAGCTCAGCAGGACCGGAGTCGGGACACGGTGCCAGAGAGTGAAGGTAACACGTGGGGAGACCCTGCCTGCTGACCATTAGGCCAGTCCTAGGGGGACGAGGCTCTTTGCCTCATGTTGGGTGTAGCTGGCCTGGCATTTTCCCCCAGGTGTATCTTTCCTTCAGGACCCAAGACCCAGGCCACCTCCCCGCTCACACCTTCCCTGGCTCCCTCCTGCCTACAGGAGTCAGTCTAGAAGTTCTCAAACTGGAGTGGCCTGAGGAATCATGGGAAGCATGTTAGAAATAGGAATTCACCGGCCCCATGCCCAGGGGTTGGTTTAGTAGGCCAGGTGTGCTCTCTGGCAATTTTGCTTGGTATCCAGCTGCATACAGCCTGCAAAGCCAGGTCTGCTGGTGTCTTGTCAGTGGCCCAGCTGCAGTGGGGGCAGTGTGTTGGCTCACCCACATCCCAGGCAGATGCCCAGAACTGTCCTGAGTTCCTTCCTTCATTCCTGCACCCATTCAGTTGGTCCAGTTTCCCTTCAGCCTCTGTGCTGCCCTCAGCCCCCATTGGTAGAGCTGTTCCTGGCAAGGCCTTGGCCATCAATGGCCTCCTTACCAGTGCCCCAGCTCCCCACTCAACACTGTCTCTTCTCTTTCCACTTGTCTAGTCTTGCCAATTCTGTCACCCACTTATTCCCTAAAATGTTTTCTAAAGGAGTTGAGATGCTGCTTTGTATCAGTTGGAGTTCTCCAGAGAAACAGAGCTAATAGGATGTGTATGTGTAAAGAGATATTTTAAGGAATTGGCTCACATGATTGTGGAGGCTGGCAAGTCCAAAATCTGTATGGCAAGCCATCAGGCTGGAAATTCAGGCAAGATTTCTGTGCTGCACTCTTGAGGCAGAATTCCTTCTCTGGAAAACCTCAGGATTTGCTCTTATGGCCTTCACCTGATTAGACGAGGCCCACCTCCAGTTAGGAGGGTGATCTGCTTTACCTACAATCAGTTGATTTGTAAATGTTAATCACATCTACATAATACCTCCAACAGCGGCATCTACATTGGCATTTAAACCAAACAACAACATAGCCGTAATCATTACATACTTTCCTTTATATCCTCATTTTTTTCAAACTAAGAATCGGTGGACTGAATGAAAATTAACCTTTCCACTGCCTCATAGAAGGAGAATACTAATTTTCTGTGCACACTATAGCTGGACCATTGCCCCCTGCTTCCTGTTCCGTTTCCCTCCCACTTAGTTGTACTTCTTGGCCACTTAGTCTCTATTGTGGTGAAACCCCAGACTCCTCCAGGGTCAGGGTTTCCCTCCCAGAGCCAGTGAAAGCCTTGAGCCTTGTTTCCTCACTTCCTCTCCCTCAGAGAGTAAGAAGGAAACAGAAGTCCCAGGTTAGCTTCTGTCCTCTCCTGGGGTTTAAACCATGGTGATTGTGTTTGTGTAGTTCAAACCAAAGGACTAGAGGAGGAGTCAGCAGACCTTTTTTTTTTTTAATATATATACTTTCATTGATTTCAGAGACCACTCCGAGGCAGAGGGGCTCGGACCTGACACCTGTTACTAGTGAGCAGAGGATAGAGGAGGAACTTGGACTAAGTTCCCAACAGTTAGTACAGTGGGCAGGGTTCAAGAACGAACCTATCAGGCTGGAAATTCAGGCAAGATTTCTATGCTGCAGTCTTGAGGCAGAATTCCTTCTCTGGAAAACCTCAGGATTTGCTCTTATGGCCTTCACCTGATTAGACGAGGCCCACATCCAGTTAGGAGGGTGATCTGCTTTACTTACAATCAGTTGATTTGTAAATGTTAATCACATCTACATAATATCTCCAACAGCGGCATCTACATTGGCATTTAAACCAAACAACAACGTAGCCGTAATCATTACATACTTTCCTTTACATCCTCATTTTTTTCAAACTAAGAATCAGTGGACTGAATGAAAATGAACCTTTCCACTGCCTCATTGAAGGAGAACACTAATTTTCTGTGCACACTGTTGCTGGACCATTGCCCCCTGCTCTCTGTTCCGTTTCCCTCCCACTTAGTTGTACTTCTTGGCCACTTAGTCTCTATTGTGGTGAAACCCCAGACTCCTCCAGGGTCAGGGTTTCCCTCCCAGAGCAG